TCCTGCTGATGTTCAGGTGTATATCAGTATGTAGTGTCTCTACTTTAAAGAGTCCTCTCCTGCTGATGTTCAGGTGTATATCAGTATGTAGTGCCTCTACTTTAAAGAGTCCTCTCCTGCTGATGTTCAGGTGTATATCAGTATGTAGTGTCTCTACTTTAAAGAGTCCTCTCCTGCTGATGTTCAGGTGTATATCAGTATGTAGTGTCCTCTACTTTAAAGAGTCCTCTCCTGCTGATGTTCAGGTGTATATCAGTATGTAGTGTCTCTACTTTAAAGAGTCCTCTCCTGCTGATGTTCAGGTGTATATCAGTATGTAGTGTCTCTACTTTAAAGAGTCCTCTCCTGCTGATGTTCAGGTGTATATCAGTATACGTGCCTCTACTTTAAAGAGTCCTCTCCTGCTGATGTTCAGGTGTATATCAGTATGTAGTGTCTCTACTTTAAAGAGTCCTCTCCTGCTGATGTTCAGGTGTATATCAGTATGTAGTGCCTCTACTTTAAAGAGTCCTCTCCTGCTGATGTTCAGGTGTATATCAGTATGTAGTGCCTCTACTTTAAAGAGTCCTCTCCTGCTGATGTTCAGGTGTATATCAGTATGTAGTGTCTCTACTTTAAAGAGTCCTCTCCTGCTGATGTTCAGGTGTATATCAGTATGTAGTGTCTCTCCTGTGACATGTCTCCTTTAATGTTCAAAAAGCTCTTTATTTTTCTCATACTGTCTGTGCTGCAGCACCTCTTGTCACCCTCTGTCTGAAACCTGTCTGCTCTGATTGGTTAGCTGGCCGGCTCTGTTGTGATTGGTCAACCTGCTTAGAGATGTCCCGCCCCTTAGCCTATCACGTACAATGTGTTGGAGCGCTAGCTAATAGAAGCGCGAGTGTTACAAAGTGATGTCATAGCCGTATTTGTTAACTTAATTAAATATCTCAAGTATAAATACAAGACATAAATATAAATATATTCATGCAATTTAGTGAATGTTTCTCTCAAAGTGGTGAATCATACCGCAATGTAAATTCCACTTTAACTCCACTTTAATTCCACTTTTAATGGAACTTAGGCTCCTATCTACAGTATAGTATGAGCATTGGGAACTCTGTCAAACTCTAGTTTTATTTAAATCCAAATATGGGTTTTGTTTGCTTGTAGCAGTACTGTCAATCACAGCTGATTACAAAACAGGGGTTCCTCTCAAACAAGCATTAAGGGGAGGCTTTATTCTCAATTAAACATGCAATACAATCCTACTTCTATTACTGGCCCAGGAGACATATCAAATAACTGACACTGTGATGCTTTTCTGCTATCTTTCTCAGATGTTATGGGTAGAAACACATTGGTTACAAACCAGGGTTTAAAATAGTTTACTGTATACACAGCCTTTAGCCACAATGCAGAACTAGAGGAGCTCTCTAGTTACCATAGTGAGATACACAGGAAACTCGTTGTGTTCAGCATAGTCAAGTTACCCATCAAATTCAAACCTATCTGTGACTGTAAGCATGTGCTAGTCTAAGCTCTGGAGATTTAAACTAATGTGTGTAAGTGTTGCTTAATGAGGCGTCTGATGTTTCATGCTTCACCTGAGCTGAAGGGAAGTCGACAGCTGGGATAGCCCCATGAAGAGCAGCGATGTGCAAGAGGCGTTTAAAACCACTTCCTGTGTGTTGGTTAGTCTGCAGGAAGTCACATGGTAGTTGCATCCTGCAGAGAGTCATTTCGCGCTCTGATTGGGCTGCATAAAAAACACAGTGTGAGTGACCTCATATATTTAAACATTTCTAGAGAAAGGTGACAGAAAAGACAAGAATCAAAGCATGAGACGATGATATCAAAGTTCTTAAACACATCCACTATAATCGTTTACACAGCGACTGTAGCTCTGTATTTGCAAGCTTATCTTACACTGCTTTTTAGTCACTGATGGGAAATCCTAATTATAAAATGAATGATCCAAAATACACTTTTTAACTTGTGTATTTGTTTGTACTTTGACACCATGGGGATCTGTAAGAGGTAAAGAAAAACTAGTAATTGAAATGCTGCAACAAACTCATAAAATAAATGATAATTTCATTTTATATTCAACATGGTGGAAGCTGTGGTTCGGGCTTTTCAAATAAATAAAAAACTCTGGTTGTGTTTTGAATCGATGCTCACAAACAACAAGGTATCGGGCTGTTAAAAACTACAATTGACTTGTTTTTTATAATTATTTCTGATATTTACATCATACTAAAGTTGCAGCCTATATCAACGCAACATTATTTGCTTTCTTAAATAGTGTTGGATGAGAAGATCGTGCGTTTGCAAACATTTTAAACTTCTCCATCTAGGTTAAAGTAGCAACACTTTCAAGTACGCAACACGTTGTTATTGAAAGTTGTTACTTAGGTTAAATGTACTCAACTTTCACCTGTCTGTTTCGTTTTAAGTAATTTTGCAAAATGTACTCTCTATAAGTGCTTCTACTGCATATTTCTCAAGTATCTTCACACTTAGCATCTTTTCTTGGCTGATAAAAGAGAATGGCTGGAGGAATTTCCACTTAAATGCATGTTGAGTCAGCATTAGCAACTAACAACTTGGACTTGTGCAGAGTTCAAGTCTGTCAAGCAAAGACAACATCATTACTGTGTTTCCTTATCCTGCGGGGAGAGTCTGGGAGACACTGAGCTGCTGTTGTCTTCCTCTTTCTCCCTTTCTCACCCTCTGTCTGTGCCTTCTTGCTGTTCAAGGTTAAGTTACAGTGAACGCCAGCTGTAAGCAGAGGTGGGAGAAGTACTCAGATCTTGTACTTGAGTAAAAGTAGAAGTACTCAGATCTTGTACTTGAGTAAAAGTAGAAGTACTCAGATCTTGTACTTGAGTAAAAGTAGAAGTACTCAGATCTTGTATTTGAGTAAAAGTAGAAGTACCAGAGTGTAGGAATACTCTGTTACAACTAAAAGTCCTGCATTCAAAATGTTACTCAAGTAAAAGTAGAAAAGTATTATCATCAAATATAGTTAAAGTAGCGACAGTAAAAGTAGTCATTGTGCAGATTGGTCCATTTCAGAATAATATATATGATATGTTTTATAATGATTGATCATGAAAGTGTTCTCAAAGCTGGTAAAGGTGCAGCTAGTTTGAATGACTTTGTATACTGCAGGGTAGCTTGTGGATTTACTCCAGGTGGAACTCAAGTCTGATTTAACACTTGATTATATTTCACATCATTCATCCACATCTGTAAAGTAACTAAAGGTATTAAATACATGTAGTGGAGTAAAAGTACACCATTTGCCTCTGAATTGCAGTGTGGTAGAAGCACAAAGATACTAAAAATGGAAATAATATTAAGTACAAGTCCCTATAAATTGTACTTAAATACAGTACTTGAGTAAATGTACTTAGTTACTTTACCCTACTGACTGTAAGCAACAGGTGGTGACCTCAGTGCGACTCCCTTAAAGATAGTAATCTTAAACCAGTTTTGGTTTGATCTATAACTTTGGTTTTCAGAGGCTGTGTATCAAAAAGCAACGCTATCCACCGCTCACTCAGATAAAACACTGTGTGAGAAAAAAAGGGGGACAAGTTGTTACTAAGTGTTGGGAAAACAAAGCTCTTAGAGAAAAATGTGACATCCAATGCTCGGGATTGTTTTCAACCAGAGAGTGATAAGTACTTTAGGTCAAAGGTCACATCACAGGAAGTGTTGATATTCTCTTGGGGTTGTTACAGCGCTGACAGCCAAGGACGGGCCACACGGATACGACGAGCCTTCCTCACATCCCACTGACACGTTATCTATCCAAAGTGACACTGCAGCATCATGCCAAGGTCTTCTCATTTAGCGTAGTGCCAGTGTTTCTCCGCCATTTTAAAAATCTACACAGCTCTCCTCTCTGATCAAAGTATTTGTCATTTTTTTATTTTACTGTAAATATTGCCTGTATTCAACATTGTCAACATCTTCTTCCACGATATGATTTGTACTCTGTTCTTCTTGCAGTACTTTTATTGTTTTTTAATTTGTTTTATTGTTTTATGTCTTGTATATATTTATGTTGCATTGTTGGAGGAGCCTGGGACTTAAGATAAGATAAGATAAGACAAGATGGATTTATTGATCACCGTAGGGAAATTCAGGTGTTATAGCAGCGACAGAATAAGACAGAAACACAGAGAGTACATGCAGAAAAAGGTGCTGTGCATATGGAAAAAAAGGCTTTGAATCTTGAATCTTGAAACTAGCCCCCCTGAAATAAAAATTGCTCTTGTATATGACCGGTTAAAAATAAAGTATTTGGTTAGGGTCCTCTTTAATTTAGGTGTTTCCTGAATTGTCACCACCTCTAACAACGATTTTGGAAAACATTATGTGGGCAAATTATCAGTAAATATTCAGCCAAATTACCAATATGTCCAAAATTCTTGTTTTTTTTCCTGTGATTCCAACACTTAATATAAAGAAGAAGCCCGATATATATACAAAATGTGGACAATATCTGGTTTGCTTACTGTACATATGTTTACATTGTATTGCTTTCTATTTCAATGTAAATTACTGCTTTATTTTATTTTCAATTTTTCTACATTTCTTTCTTACTTTTTTTGTAATGTTATTATAGTGTTCTTAATATAGTTCGCTATCTGTGTTTTGTTTTACTCTTATGTATGCACCACGACACCAAGTCAAATTCCTCGTAGCCTACGTGTCAACCTGGTAATAAACCCGTATCTGATTCTGATTCTGATATCCCTTCTATAAAATATGGGGGACATTCCTACAGATTTGTGTAATGTCTTTGTGAAAAAAACAGAAATACCAATACAAATATTTGTCAAAAAAAAAGCCCTCTAGCGACGGTACTGCTGGGTTTTATCGTGGTTTATACCAGGGTTTGGTCAGATTTGTGGCCCCCGAGCTCGAGGCTCCTCGCACGGGACATTCCTGACCCTCCCTCTCGTGCCTCAGTGCGCAGACTCTCTGTCAGGCAGCAGGCTGACAGTATGGCGGCGGTGTGCAGCTGGAGGAAGGATGCTACTGTCGCCCGTCATGTGTCAATCGCCGGTAGGACGTAAATGGAAATTTGACGGAAAAAACAGAAGAAGGATTTAACGAGACAGGCTTGTGGCCGTGAGCTCCAAAGATGTCGAGACTCGCCGACTACTATCTGGTGGTCGGTTACGATCTCGACAAGCGAGGTGGGTCCCTTCAGTTAGCTGTTAGCTGCTAGCTTTTTAGCGGCGTATTATCAGCCGTTGGTAAACAGAAGGAGGCGGGGACCGCGACGTTACTCTCAACTGACCCGCGCTAGGTGACGTCAGCGGGTAGTTAGCCGTCAACTTTACACCGAGGATGCGCTTGGCCTCTTGGGATTAGTGTGCTTAAATGCTAACCTCTGAGCTAATGTCATGCATTTCAAACAGGGAAATACATTGAAATGAACCACTCTTATGCAGTGGTTTACATTTGAGGCATGTTTTTTTGTATTTTAGGCATAGGAATAGGTGTTAGTAGGATGACAGCAAAGTAAGGCTAACTTTATGTGCTAAGAGCTACATGTTAGCCTGTGCCCTAGGACTGATTTATTCACAGTTTCAGCTCCATATTCCCCAGTTGTCTCTCATTAACACATGTTTCTTGTGCAACATTCGCCATTTAAAAGGGGGAATTTTAAACTTTGCACAGAATCTGCAGGACAGCGGGTTGTCAGTGTTGTGGCTGCAGGATCCTGAGCACTCACAGTTATGTACTAAAACCCTGCTTATTTCCTCTTGGATTTTCTTTAAACCTAATATATATATTTTTTTTAAAACTGGAAATCGATGCTTCTCCTTGACGGGTTCTGTTGGGTGTTTTCTTTGTGTGTGTTTTGTGTGGATTAACCCAGATTGCTTTGCCCCTCCCTGAGCCCCCTCGGACCGGAGCTGTGTTCCCTTGTGTTGTTGGGACGGGGTTTGGACCGTTATCTGAGCCCCCCCCCCCCCATTCAGCTGGAGCCTTGGCCTAGATCTGTGCAGTATAATGGCTCGTTTAATCATGAAATATTCAACCCAACTATCCAATGGAAGCATGCATCTTGTAACGAGTCTTTTATATAGAGTGGATTTTCTGCCTATGATTTATTCACAAGAGGCAAATTGTAACATGACAAGTCCTCTGTGGCTAAAAGCCAGGCAGGGAAACTGGCTTTTATCTTGATTATGCTGGAGCAACCGACATCACTTTTCTCATTGCACTTATTACACCTTGTATTTTATTTTTTTAGTGGGGGTGAATACAGGATGTTATAACGTGGACACTGCAAACGCTGCAGAAACTCTCCTTCCTGTTCGACTCTGCCTGAATGCAATGCAGAGCAGAACGGGCCAGTAAAAAGCATCTGGGACCCAGACATTAAAGCCTCAGTGGCTCTAATGAATCAAGGCTCCCATGCCTTGTAAAACCAAACACTTAAGGGTGATGATGATTGTTGGCGTTGCCCTACTTCTGCTTCCTCTCTGCTATTAGGTGGAGGCATTGGGTTAAACATTCCCAATAGCCTTAATTGTTACCATGAGCATCATCATTGCCATTATGTAATGCACCGGCAGTAAACATTCACTTCCTATATTCATTCTCTGCAGCTAGATCGATACGATTCTGCACAGTCTTTACTTCTGATACTGTCTTATGCTCTCATAGTTTGTAGAGATCCTCACATATCATTGCCAGCCCAGAGATGGAGAGTCATTTGATTGATTCTCATTGTGTGTAATCAATTATCAGGTTCTTGTGCAGCCTCTAGGTATCACGTTTGGGGTTGAATTAAGATTCTGGCGATCTACGATCACTTTGGAGGTTGTTTTTTGAGATTTAAATATTTCAGTATCTCATTGATTCTTTATTCAATCCAAAATCGTCTTCAATTAAAAGTCGATTCTGGATCCTGCACATAAGGATGCTAATTACGGGATCCACTCCATTTAGCAGTACGCTTATAAATGTGGTGTTGCATTTAATGGCACTAAAGCAGTGCAGAGTGTGTATCAGATTATTGAGTTTCTATATATGAAAAGCTTTATTAACTGATGCAATAATCTAAACACCCAAAGGCGAAGAAATAAACCCTTTACACCTTTTTAAGACTTCTCAAATCAAATAAGAAATAGCCGTTAACTATTATTAACAGGCCTTGCATGGTATCTCAAAGAAAACACTTGGCTACTATTTAGAATAAATGGTCCTCGATCATAAGAATACAAGGAATTCTGAAGCACAGTGGAGTTTCCTCTTGTGTTTGAATACTTCATACATCCTGTGTGTGTGTGTGTGTGTGTGTGTGTGTGTGTGTGTGTGTGTGTGTGGTGTGTGTGTGTGTGTGTGTGTGTGTGTGTGTGTGTGTGTGTGTGTGTGTGTGTGTGTGTGTGTGTGTGTGTGTGTGTGTGTGTGTGTGACTGTGTGTGTGTTGCTGGTTGTGACTGTGTGTGACTGTGTGTGTGTTGCTGGTTGTGACTGTGTGTGTGTTGCTGGTTGTGACTGTGTGTGTGTGTGTGTTGCTGGTTGTGTGTGTTGCTGGTTGTGTGTGTGTGACTGTGTGTTGCTGGTTGTCACTCAAACAGTGGAATGTTTTGCAAGCGTGGGCACTGACAGGTTTTCAGGTATGACATCATCGCTGCCTCTCAGAGCGCGTACACAACACCCTGTGGGTGTGTACAAACAGAAACATCCTGCAGGCAGAACGCTTTTCTTACGCTCTTGTTCACGACTAAAACCCCTTTTTGACTTGTTAAACAGATGCAAACCTGGAGGCAGAGCTTTCAATCTTTTATCCACCCTCTACATTTGTCTCTTAGGTGTCAGGTTGCTCACACTGGGCTCAACCTAGATGCTAAGTTTTGCTATCAGTGGATCTTGCTTAGAGGCCAAGATGGCTGCTTATGGGTTGGAAGAGTCCATAGTGGCTGCCGGGGTGTGGTCCCTCCTGTATGAATGACTCTAGAGGAGCTCCACAGCATGTCACTGTGTTTTGACAGCAGTTCCTCTGCGCCACTGCAGCCAAATGCACATGCTGTCCAAGGGCCAAACAGGAAACTGGGGAGAGGACCTGAGGGAGGCTCGAGTTCAGAGCTGTGTGTGTGTGTGTGTGTGTGTGTGTGTGTGTGTGTGTGTGTGTGTGTGTGTGTGTGTGTGTGTGTGTGTGTGTGTGTGTGTGTGTGTGTGTGTGTGTGTGTGTGTGTGTGTGTGTGTGTGTGTGTGTGTGTGTGTGTGTGTGTGTGTGTGTGTGTGTGTGTGTGTGTGTGTGTGTGTGTGTGTGTGTGTGTGTGTGTGTGTGTGTGTGTGTGTGTGTGTGTGTGTGTGTGTGTGTGTGTGTGTGTGTGTGTGTGTGTGTGTGTGTGTGTGGGGCGTGTCGGCAACTGTGTAAGGCACTCTCATTAAAGACAGAGACAGTGGAGAGACACACAGATTCTAACATACAGGCTCTATTGTAGCTCCATCTGTGTGCCTCTGGCTGAGCAGTTTAAGAGTGTTGGTCATTGCAGTGGCGGCCTGAAACAATGCAGAATAGTTGTTTTCAGGCGGGAGTGACAGCACACAAATCAGCCACTGAAGGATTGTACACACACACACACACACACACACACAACAGCGCACAGTGAAGTTAGGGCCATTCACAACATTAGAAGGCAGCGCGGCACAGAGAGATACACCCAGGGCGGACTGAGCACGCAGGCTTTGTGTTTACAAATCTCAGGTTGCCTCTGTTACTGCCTGTGTTGTCACGATGGTACAATTGGGACATGGTTGCTACAATACGATTGTAAATAAAACAAAAGCTTTGAGGCCTTGTTCCGTAACTAGTTTGCGGCTCGATATGAAAACGCTCACACAGCCTGTGCAGTATAACACGTGTCTCATTTAACCACTTGTGCAAGAAATGGTTACTTGGTGGGTGAAGTGTTTCTTCTGGGTGTCAAAACTGGCTTTCATTTTTATTCTCACATCCATTGGGATTGTTTTTTTTGTGATTTTACTATATAGTTTTTAAATCTATACATATGACATCTTTTGCATGTCTGCCCGATTCTTTCCCATTCATTCTGGAGTTTCTTTGGGATTTGTTTCTTTGGGATTTGTTTCTTTGTGCGCTGCGAGGGTCTAAGGACAGAGGGTTTTGTTTGTTGTACAAACTGTAAAGCAGAGGCAATTGTTTAGTTTGTGGTATTGGGCGATATAAAGACAATTTAGTCATTAAGAATGTTTAGGTCAGATGCAGATCCTGATTAAATAGGTTAGTGTTTGGTTGATCCTTAAAACTCGAGGAAACCACGTTGTCCAGAGTCAAGATGAATCTGGCAAATCTATTTAACATTAAACATTTTTTTAACTTTTGCTGTGGTAGGGCTGTGCAAAATGGTCAAAATCTCCTATCATGATATAGTTTGTTTCATTTCCCGATAACCACTGAAAACCCTGTAGTTAAATAATGTATGTAGCTTCTGTAACGCTGTTCCAGTGGCTTACGGCAGCTTCGCTAAATGTTATGTTCTGCTTTGTGGGACAGCTAGCAGAGAGGAACCAGAGAATATTAGGGGCCTCATTCATGAAACCAAAAGCATCTCTTGAGAGGGAGTCTGCTGCATGTAGGGCCTTATGAATTAATAACAAAGGGTAACCAGTGTAAAGACGGAAGTAAAAACTAGAATGAACAGTTATCATTTAATTATGAACGTAAGTGCAAAACAACACAAGAGTTTCAAGTGAAGTTGTAGAGAAACGATAATGCTTCACAACATTTCACATTTCTCTGAACGTTCTTTATACAATTTAAAACAACGCAATTGTGACAATATTTCACCTACTATTCCACTGAAAGACAACAAATTAGGAGGAAGGATGAAATACCGTTATCGTGACAAAGCTGTGACTAATTTATGTTTTGCTCACAGATGCACTCAGTAGAGCGTGAATGAAACTACATGCAGCTCGACGGAGAAATAGAAACCTCTCAGATAGAGATGAAGCTGCGAGTAAGAGTGTGTGTGTGGAGGAGAGAGGAGTGTGTGTGTGTATGTATGATGCTGCCAGCAGTGCCTGCCTGTGGGCAGCCACTTCCTCCATCGCTGCAGAGCTTTCAGGCTCTCCAGAAATAGCCCCTCACAATCTGCCTTTCATAGGGGTCCGAGTGACGCTGGCTGCGGTACTCTGTCGCTGTGTGTGT